CCCCCAGAACTGAAAATACTAAGAGAAGGGGAATTGTCTTTTATGATGCAAAACTTTTTTGTGTGTGCAAGAACTAGTTTATATGACCAAATCAATTTATTCTCCTATAATTTTCCTGTAATTTTTCTCCTATAATTTCTTATCTTTGTTGAATTTATTGGAATTTTCCTTCCCTCCACAATTGTAATAGGCATTTCATATTATTTCTTTTAATCTTGATGATTGTTTTTTATAACATATTGTAGATTCACTTGGAATTTATTGTTATTGTGAGGATGGTTAATGGTGAACAGTTTAGCTAGAATGGAATCTGTTGATTTTTTTTTTTTTATGAAACATCTAGGTAGTGTGGTGGATAAAGCATAGAAATCCAGATAGATCTGAATTCAAATCCTACCCAAGACATTTAGTAGCTAGGAAAGTCAACTTAACCTCTGTTTCAGTTTCCTCCTCTGTAAAGTGGGAATATAATGGTATCTACATCCCAAGTTGTGGTGAGGATAAAATTAGATAGTATTTGTAAAGTGTCCTGCAAATGTTAAACACATTATATCAATTCTAACTAATGTCATTTTTTCCATACTGTTATCTAAAGTTTTAATTGGATAATGAATTATCCAATGTTTGGTTATTTCAGATTAATCACACACTAGACTCTTATTGTATCCTTTGAGTTCTAGTTCTTAATCATCTATCATGTTCCATTGATCTCCTTTTCTATTTTTTTCTATAATATCAGACATTTATATAGTTAATAATTACTGTTTTATAGCATGCCCTGAGATCTTGCAGAGCAAGTCAGAATTCCTTCTTTTATTCTTCTTCATTGTTCCCTTTTATATTCTTGATGATCTAGTTAGAAATACATAAGACCTAACAGATTCACGTGAAACAATGAGACTAGTCTAAGACTGGCTATTGTAAGCATGATACAGTGGAACTGGATTTGGAGTCAAAGGACCTGGATGTGACTCCTGGCTCTGAAGCTTACTTGCCATAAATATCACCATCATTTAACTTTTCTGAGCCTCAGGTTCTCATCCGTAAAACTAGGGTAATAGAACTTATACTAAGATTGTTGTAAAAAAAAATACTTCAGGGGCAGCTAGGTGGCGCAGTGGATAGAGCACTGGCCCTGAAGTCAGGAGGACCTGAGTTCACATCTGACCTCAGACCAAACACTTGACACTTACTAGCTGTGTGACCCTGAGCAAGTCAGTTAACCCCAATTGCCTAAAAAAAAAAAAAAATACTTCATAAACCTTGAAGTGCCACATACACATATACATGCATCCAGTAGATCTCAAGAGCCTTTTCCTCTCTGGATGGTGATTGTGTAAAGTCTGAGAAATAGGACTCAAAACCGACTGCTAACATTTTTGGTTTCTTGTTCTAATAAATCTCTGCTCCTGGAAAGAATTCTTGGGAGGGAATTATGGGAAAGTTAATAGGACAGAGTGAGAACCATACCAAGGGTGGGGAAGGGGTAACCCACCTCTAGAATATATTTTCTCCACTCCCATGTCTACCAGGTACAAGCACATTTTGCATCTGAGACAATGTCTTTCCTAATTCCAGCTCTTAACACCGAGTGGCATTTATAAGTCTCCATGCTGTAGCAAAAGCCTATTTTTCAACCATGTCTGATAAAGTTTCTCAAGATATCCTTGTGGATTAGATGGCATGCTGTGGGGAAGATAATATAATTAGGCAGGTTTAGAACTGATGAATTATCAGTATTGGAAGAATATTAATTAATGAATTGATGTAAAGTTTAGGAAAGTCCCTAGTGGAATACTCTAGATGTCCTTAATCCAGTGTTACTAAGCATTCCCCTCATAAACTCAGGGTGCACTCTCCCACAAAACAGATGGTGTCAGGCATAGAATATACCAGCAGAGAGGAAGATAAGGAACACATATGGCCAAGGCTCCTCATGCTTCTGGCACTGCAAAGCCCCAGTATCCTTCCTTTTCTCCTAGTGTCTTCGTGCTGGGCAGCTGGGCTTCCCTGGGTCTATTACTCTCCACGGTTCAACTCCTGACTGCCAGGGCTAATTCTTCTTTAAATCCGTAGCTGGCTTTCTTCTCTGCTGCCAGGGGTGATACTCCCTAAGGCTGTCCCCAGCCTCTATCCTCTTTTTCTGCCCCTTACTGGAGGGAAATTCCATATTAGGCAAGTACCAAGTTTAAACCTGCTTTCACACTGCTTAAAACATTAGAAAAATGCTATCATCTCTCATTCTCTGATTCTTCTCTCAGGCTAAACATTCTCCATTTCTTCAGACAGTCCTTCATATAGTTTGCTTTTGAGGTCCTTCATCCTCCTCAACCCTACTCTTGACGGGTTCAAACTCTCAGATTGTGAATACCCCATCAAAAATTTGGTATGCTGAACTAGATGTGACAATCTAGTTATATTCTGACTAAGGCAGAGGAATGATCACCAATCTTGCTATGGATACCATATTTGTATTAAAGTAGCTCAAGATTTCATTAGCAACTGACTTAAATTGAATTTGCAATCAGTTAAAACCCCTCAGTCTTTTTTTCACATGTACACCTGTTTAAACACATGTCTTTCTCATCCTGTAATTGTATAATAATTTGTTTTTTCAGTCAACTGGAGTACTTTTCACATTGACCTCTATTAATTGTAATCTTGTTAATTTCAATTCACTATTCTAGCCTCTTAAATTTTTTTTGGATCCTACAACTTCTGATATTGGCGATTCCACCAAATTTGTGTCCTCTGCAGATTGAATAAGGATTTCATGTATGTCTTTGATAGAAATGTTGAACAACACACGACAAAGAACAGATCCTTGGGGTGCTCCACTGGAGACTTCCCTAAGTTTCACATCCATTCATTAATCAATATTCTTCCCATATTAATAATTAACCAGTTCCAAACCTGCTTAACTGTACTATCTAGGCCACAGGAATATCTCGAAAGGCTTTATCAGACCTAGTTGAAAAATAGGCATACTGTGTCTACAACTTTTCTTTGACTTACCAGTGTAGTAAATCTGTCAAAAAAGGAAATGAGGGGCAGCTAGGTGGCACAATGGATAGAGCTCCAGCCTTAGAGTTAGGAAAATCTGAGTTCAAATCCTGCCTCAGACACTTAACACTTACTAGCTGTGTGACCTTGGGCAAGTCACTTAACCCCATTGCCTCACCCCCAAAAAAAAAGAAAGAAAGAAAAAGGAAATTAGTTTAATCTTTTGTGACTCTTTCTTAACAAACAGGCTGACTTACAGATTTGTCCTTGATCACCGTTTCATTTCCCAAACCATATCTTTAATAGTTTATTTTAGAATTTTGCCAGGAATTTATGTCAAACTCACTATCCTATACTTTGAACTATCTGTCTCTTCTACTCCTTGAAAATCAGGGCAGAATTTCTGTGCCTCCAGTCCAGTGGCACCTGTCCCATTCACAGTTCCTTGAAGATCACTGTCAGCAATTTGGCAATTACATCTACAATTCTTTTCAGTAGTTCATCTACTTCAGTAGTTCAGGCAAGGTGACTTGGACTCATTAACAACAGATGAGTGATTGTCCCCACCATTTGATGCCTCATTTATTTTAGGTGCCAATTTTCTTTTAAAGGATTTTTGTTCTGTCTTTCTCTGCAGATCATTCAATTGGTAAAGGAAAGAGAAGCCAAATGGTAATTGAGTAGTTCCACCTATTTTCCATCCTCTATTATTCTGTCTGCCCCATGAATCAGTGCTTCTTCTTACTCTTTACATAGCTTTTTTAAAGCTATTTTTAGCATTTTTAGAAAGCCACAGTTGAAACTATTTTAGAAGTAAAGGTTTTAATTAGACTATTAATTCCATTGGTCAGATCAAGTATATGCCAAGGAAATCCATGTCAAAGGGTAGCACAATCTTGAGAGCATTGTATAATTGCTTTTTAAGGTAATGTGAAAGAGGACAGTGAAAGAAGAGTGGGAAACTCATTAATGATGTTATTCATCCCAAAAAAAGTCATTTGAGAGAATATCAGTATCTACCAATCCATATATCTTTCTTGTCTTAATTATAAGACCGATGTGTGCATGTATCCTTGGTGAAAATATGAGGTGGAAAAATGCAGAGTATTGCACAGTACAGACCATATCTTTGTAGTCACACAATTGACTAAACGGTATGGCAAATACAAAATCCCTCTATATTTATTGTTTGTTGATTTTTTTAAAAACCACTTGACTGGGAAGAGCAGATTTAAAGTATCTTCTTTTGTGCATATGTTAAGATCATAGGAAATTCCTTGATAAATACAACCATGTAGGTATTGCTCTTCAGCAACTTTCTGATTATTAATAAGGCATAAAACAAGGAGTTATATGCTTGCCAAAGCTCATCACCATCATCATGGAGTATATCCTACATAAAGTCCAAATGGAAAGTGTTTAGTATAGATGATGAGGTCCTAGCAAGATGTTCTTGCTTTGCAGGTGACATTGTGTTGATTATATCAAGCCTAAAACATCACAGGGTCTCCTCATTGAGACCCATGATTATTCAAAAGAGATTGATTGCCCTAACAATCCTTATAGAAAAAACTAAATGGATGAAAAAAATACCCATTAGCCACACTGTAATGCATCTGAATTATGAAACTTGAGTTAGTACACCACTATACATATTTAGGACACTTGTTACAGATGAACAATGACTTGGGTTCACAGTTTTATAGGTTTATGAATATTGGAATATCAAAATCTCCAAAGAAGCAAGTTTGCAAGTGATCCAAATGGTAATGTAGATGTATATACTAGGCATGAATTTGAGCCATTCACTTCAGCAATTTGAGTAAGGCATCTCTGTGTGAGTTTGGAAAGTTTTAAAATGAAAAGGAGACAGTCAGGTTCTTCAGCCCATTTCAGTTCCCACATTTGTAGGCAAAGGATTCTCCAAATAAGTGATTGTGTGGTAACAGCATCAGCAGTAGAAAAGGGAAAGGAAGAAATCCCATGAATAAGACTAATGTGTTTAAATGAGATTTATTAGAGTATATTCTGTACAGCTAACTGGAAATGCAAGAGGGATGCTGTGGTCCTCCAAATTTCAATGCAGATTGGAGTGGCATAAGGCAGTTCTAAAGATGGGTTCTCAGCTTTCCCGTTTCATACATGAAAAGGCTCATTTCTGGTGTGTTTTTAGAAATGCTCCCTCCTTCTCAGAGGTTCCATGATGGTGATTGGCAGGGAGCAAGGTATTATCTCTTACTTCCACTTCATGAGCAACACTCTGGAATCGTTAGCTGTAGGAATCAGTTGAGGAAAATGAGAATATGGAATTGAAATGTTTCCAGTTTACTTGGGAATGGGAAGGGGGAATTGCAAGAGGGATGTGGCAGAACTTATCTATGATCCTAGGTGCTATGAGGCTAGAGGAGGTGGGAAGGAGAGAAGGTGGATCTTCATTTAAAAATAAAATAAAATAAACCTTAAATATATATATATATATATATATATATATATAAAATTAATTTGGAGTTTGGCTATAATCTCTCTTGGTAGCCACTGACTACACTCTTAACCACAGCTTAGCCAGCTTTCCAAGGCTCAAGACCCAGACAAAGAGGACAAGGAGAGAGATTTAGATTGAGACTCAGTGTAGCCTATCCCCATGCCTGAAAAACACCTTAAAATGCTTGTCTTGCCAATTGACTTTGTGGCTTACTGGCTATGTGACAGTGTGTTCATCCGTTGTAAAAAATGGATAATAGCAATTTACTTCTTACAGCACCTAATAGTTGAAAACTTAACCCCAAAAAAATGTACATAAAGCGTCTATAACTGCAAAGTGCTCTATAGAGGTAATTTATCATTATTACTCTTAATTTTTTTAATATTATTATAAATGTGAGCCATGGGTTACTGTAGTTTCTGAAGAATTAAAATTGTGGGTCATGAGCAAAAAAAAAAACCAACCCTAGATAAGCAGTGAGATAACCAGTGGTTGACCATATTGTTTCAATGGTCGTTGATATAACAATGTCAAGACATATAGAGGAAACCAGGTGGCGGTGTATAGAGAGTTGGGCCTAGAGTCACGAAGACCTAAATTCAAATCTGGCCTTAGATACTTATTAGCTGTGTGAGCCTGGGCAAGTCACTTAACCTCTGTTTGCCTTCCTTTCCTCATCTGTAAAATGTTGATAACAATATCCCCTACCTCCCAAGAGTGTTATGAGGATCAGATGAGATAATGTCTGTAAAGTTCTTAGTACAGTGCTAAGCACTTTACTTGGCACATAGTAAGCACTATATAAATGTTAACTATGATTACTATTGTTATTAGGAAGGTCCTCAGAACATTGGGTGGGCCCTCTTTGAAAGAGTTTTGGGAGGACATGGACAAGAATTACTCAAGATGGGAAGGCATGAATGGGTCATGATCTGTACCTTTGGAGAGAATCCCCATGTTGATGAGATTACATCCTTAAAAGCATCAAAGTGTTATTTATTATTGTTGTTATTACTATTATTATTGTTATCCTTGCACATGATGGTGATTGTATGCAAATCTAAGACTGGTTCTCATAAAGAGCTGAAGGAAAGACCCAGTAACAAGAAAAACTGGGACTTAGCATAGTGTCATGCTTTTTGTTGTCACCATCATCATTATTAACACCAAGGGTCTGAATTCCTGACCTCTTTTGTGACTCATGCATAGTCGTGTTGTGTGACTTCTCTTTGTGGCCTCATCTCTCTCATTTGGAACATGACTAAAGTAAGCAGTACATCTTTTTCTTAGCAGACACATTTTAGAAAATTTTGAAGTTACAGAATTAGTAAAGTGTGTCATTAATTCACTTTGTGGAATCTGAATGAAACCTTGAAGTTAGCAAATTATCCCACATTTGACAAATATCTATTTAGCATCTATTGTGTTCAATGGAGACCCTGTCTTCATAGAGGCTACAGTCTATCAGGGAAATCGGACACAAAACCAGATACAAATCCATGATATTCAGTATTACATAAGTGTATTTTTAAAAAGTTCTTTGTGAAGTGGTAGGTCCCTACCAACTGGGGATCAGTAAGGGCTGAAGATCACAGAAAGCTTCATGGCCGTAGTATCATCTGAGCTGAGGAAAATTTCATTTTATATTACTTCTCTTCATGTCCTCTCTATTCCAGAAAAAAACTGGTCTACTCTGTTCCCCAGATCTTACATGCCTCTCCCGATCCCTCTGTCTTTGCACAAGCTGTCCCCCAGATCTGGAATGTATTCCCTCTTCGGTTCTCCACTTTGCTCAGCGGGAGAGAATCCTGAAGAAGACAAGGAGAGTTGTATAGAGACTCAAGTTCATATCATATAAGGATACATTAGAGGAACTAGGATTGTTTACCCTGGAGAAAAGAAGAGTTAGGGAGACTATGGTAGTTGTCTTCAAGTAGTTAATGGGCTGTCCAAGAGATTAGACTTGTCCTGCTGGGCTTCAGAAGGCAGAACCAGGAACAATGCAAGGAAGTAGCAGTTGACTTGCTATAAGGGAAAACTTCTTAATAAATAAAGCTAGTCAAGGTAGCTAAGTGGCACAGTGGATAGAGCACCGGTCCTGGAGTCAGGAGGACCTGAGTTCAAATCTGGCCTCAGAGACTTGAAACTTACTAGTGGTATGATCCTAGTCAAGTCATTTAACCCCAATTGCCTCCCCAAAAAGCAAAAAAAAAAAATTAGAATAAAGCTAGTCAAGAGTAGAGTGGAATGTCTTAAGAGATCATGTTTTCTTTCCCTCGAGATCTTTAAGCAAAGGCTGGCTGATCTCTTTTTAGGAATGATGTAGAGGGGATTCTTGTTCAGATATTATTAGAATAGATAGCCTCTAACGTCCCTTCCAAATCTGAGATTCTATGATTCTGAATTAGGTTTTAAAGGATGGATGGGAACTCAACAGACTCAAAGAGGGATTACGTGCAGTGTTAGATAATAGCTAAGCATGGCTAGGTGGCTCAGTGGTTGAGAGCCATGCCTGGAGTCAGGAAGACTCATCTTTCTGAGTTCAGATCTGGCCTCAAACACTTACTAGTTGTGTGACCCTGGCCAAGTCAGTTAACCCTGTTGGCCTCAATTTCCTCATCTGTAAAATGAGCTGGAGAAGGAAATGGCAAATCTTTGCCAAGAAAACCCCAGGTGGGGTCACGACTGAAACAACTGAATAACAACAAAAAACTGGTGAAGTGTGATAGTGTGGGCAGAGTGTATGAATCATAGTATGGAAGATCCTGGATTATAGAAAGTGCTGTAGTGGAACAGTAAACTGGCAGATAGTAATAAAAATCCCAGCAGGCATAATGCCCACTGGTGTACTACAGTGTTGAGCATGCCAAGAGAGATGCTCCGTCTTAACCACTTTCTCACCAAAAATTTTAAATTTATTTTCATTGTTACAGAGGGGTCAAAGGGTGACCTTGATGCTTTTAAATAAGAAGACTAGAGGAGTGTAGAGCACTGCTGGATTTGGACTCAGAGAGTCTGGATTTAATTCTTGGTTTTGTAACCTACCTGCTATGTGACCTTGTGCAAGTCATTTAATCTTGCTGATTCTCAGTTTCATTTTCTCTAAAGTGGGAATATTAATATTTGTACTACCTAACTTGTGGAGTTGTGAAGAAAATACTCTTAAACCTTAGGGTACTTTGTAAATGGTATTATTGTCACTTTATTGGAAACTTAGCTCTGATTTTCATAGAAAATTGGGAAATAAAATTTACTTTACAGAAATTCACTTTGTAGCTACATTTCGGGAAACATGGCTTTTCCTTAAAATGAAGGTATGAATAGTTTTCTCCCCAGACCATTGGCCATGATATAAGAACTTTAGTTTGAAAGGAGTTTGGTTTGGTTTTTCTCAGATCTGATCCATAAAGCCTGGCATTACCCTGGTCCTTCCTTCTTTTTATAAGTCTCATTCATCTTTAAATCTTAGCTCAAGTGTGAGGCCCCCTGTTCTTTTTTGCCTTAACCACCTTAACTCCTTTGGCTGAGACTGATCCCCACCCAAATTATTGGTTATACCCCTGCCACTGTCCCTAGGTTCCCAAACTCTAATTCATACTTTTTCTTTCTCTTATTAACTCCTAGACCCCTTCTTACATAAAGACCCCAAGAGTCTTTATTTAGGACTCCAAGACCCTATTCACAAGAGAATAGAACATGTAAATTCACAAATAATATCTAGAAACGCAGATTATATGTAGATACAAGGGTAATCAAAAGGATACATAAAGAATTCTAGCCAGCCCAAACTTGCTAAGTTTTTCCCTGGGCCTAGTTTCCCTAGGCCTAGCCTGGTGATTCTTTGAAGCCTACTCTCTTGTTTTTCCAACTATGTGTAAAAACAATTTTTAACATTTGTTTTTTAAAACTTTGAAACAAGTATGTTGAATTTATTGTCTAATTAAAAAAATAAGTTGTACGTAATAGTGATTCAGTTTCATACACAATCCCCTTTTTCTATTCTTTGTATATGGAAATATTTGTGTTTGTGTAGTATTTGTCAAGTGTAGAATAATAAGTAGAAAAAGTAGAAAAAATTTAAAAGATGGGTTCCCTATGGACAGCAAAGTCTTCCAGATGTTCCTCTTTTCAGGGGACTTTTTGTCCCCTGTTTGCATTGAACTCCAAAATACTGCAGAACTTTCTGGACGAAGTCTGTAACTCCTCAAACATTTGACCTGACCATTCACACAGGAAAGACCAAATGGATGACAGGTGTCTATTGACTACATGACATGCATTTGGATAGACAGCCTATAAAACCTTCGCATCAGTATGAATATCTGGGACAGACAATGTAAATGGACAATGAGTTGAGTCCAGAATTAAACAGCAGAGGAGAGCAGGATCAAGCTTCTCCCAGAAAGAAAAGCCTATCATTTTACTAAAATAAATCCATCATGTTGTATGCCTGAAAGACACATGAAACACAATAGTATCCGACAAATTACAAAAGAATAATGCACAAAGGACTGGAGAGATACATGGTAGATATGACCATGCTACAATATAAAACCATTAAGAACTTCAAAGAAAAATTGCAATAAAGGACATTATCAAGGCTAGTCAAGGGATGAGATAGCCTGAGTGTTCCACGAGCATCTTCATCATGATCTCAGGAGAAAGTGAGAAAGATCTGCAGCACATCGGGTGGAAAGACTTATGGGGAGACATGGACATTAGTCTTACAAGAAGGTTTGCAATCTGCTTCACTGGAGGGAACATTTAAATGAATGTCATCACAGATCCATTTGTGTGTCTTATGAGTATTACTATGATCCTGTGGCATCATCATAGATAGCACAGTCAATCTGAAAACAATAAGATCTGGGTTCAAATCCCAGTTCTGATGCTGACTCATTTTATAACCATGGGCAAGTCACCCTCTCTAAAACTCAGTCAATGCCCTAATATTTAATTACTCATATTATGAGATCATAGATCTTTAATGCATTAACTCTGTTTTAAACTCCATGTGAGAGTGTAGATGATTTTATCTAAACTTTGTATCTTCTTTAGTACTTAGGAAGGAAATGAGCATTTATCAAGCACTTACTATATGCTTCCAAATATTCTCTTATTTGATCCTCACAACAACCTTTGAGAGGCAGGTGCTATTATTATCCCCATTTTACAATTGAGGAAACTGAGGCAGACAGAGGTTAAGGCACTAGCCCAGGGTCATACAGTTAGTGTGTGAGGCTAAATTCAAATTCAGGTCTTCCTTACTCTAAGCACAGCACTTTATCCACTACACCATCTAACTGCTTCTGTGCTTACTTAGCACCATGTTTTGCAGGTAGTAGTTATTACATATACATATTTGCTAAATTGAATGGGGGCAAATCTTTTTGCCTGGTGACCCCTAGTACCTGAAATCTACTGGGACCTGACAAGGTAACTCATTTACTAACTGATAATCTGAAAGAATTCATTGGCTCAATCCATAGGCCATTCTCCCTACCATCACTCCTTGTTTCTGCTGGTAAAATCAGGCCTCATATTCCATGCACACTCCAGTGACTTTGTTTCTGTTGTACCTTTCACACTATAAGGAATCCCTGTTTTGGAGCATCAGAAGGAGGACTCAGAATCCTTGTATACTATTCCCAGACCTGCTTAGTCACTGCATAACTTCAAAGTCATCCTTTTTCCTGGGCCTTGGGTCCTCTCTTTATAAAATGGGGTCTATCTATGGTAGAGTGAAAAGAGTACTGAAATGGGAGTCAGGAGACCTGAGTTCTCCAACTCATTAACCCCACCACGAGCTCATTAGACAAGTCACTTCGACCTCTGTGGCCCATTTCCTTATACGTCTTATAGAAGATGAAGGGTGTGGATTAAAGAGAAGCAGTTTGGGGTAGTGGATGGAGTCCTACAATTGGAATCAGGAAGACCTGAGTATGAATCTTATGTCGGATACTGTCCTTTTCAATGCTAAAATCCCATGATTCTGTGACTTGCCACTCCACTTCCCACTCCCGCCCCCAGGATCCTGTGAGAATTGTCTATTTTCAAAATGCTTTGAGATACCACAGAAGCTGAAGAAATTGGGACATCCAAACAAGGCTTCCAAAACTATGCATGCCTTCTTTCCATCTCCAGATCCAAAAACTGGGGACCCCAAATAAAAAGTTTACTCCAGTCCAAGTCAGTCCATGTTCCTTCTATTTTAGGTGGCTAAGGAGGCAATTATAAAAATCCTGTACAAAGGATTCACGAAGGAAAATGCTATCCACATCCAGATAAAGAACTGATGGACTCTGAATGCAGATCAAAGCATAATTTTTTCACTTACTTTATTCATTTTTGTGGGTTTTTTTTCCTTTTGATCTGTTTTTTCTTTTACAACTCTGACTAATGTGGAAATATGTTTTACGTGTAGCACATGCATAACCTATATCAAATTGCCTACCATTTTCGGAAGACGGGAGGGAAGGGAGGGCGAGAGATAAATTTGGAACTCAAAATCTTATAAAAATGAGTGCTAAAAATTGTTTTGACATTCAATTGGGAAAAAATAAAATACTATTAAAAAGAAAAAAAAGTTCCTAGTTGATATAGAACTTGGTTCCTAGGCTTGCCCTGGAACAAACCTAGGTAGCCTTATATTTGCTCTGGAACTGAGCAAAAGAAAGTTCTGGTTCAGTAATGATACCTGTATCCTCTTCCCAACATTAACCATGATCCTGGGCTGTGTTGTCATGACTAAGGGAGCCAGTCAAGCATTTCTGGGAGTAGGTAAAATTTTCAAATAGGGCCTGCATTTGACAGTATTGTAAAGTCACTAAAGTCTATCTGAATTGTCCCCAGTCTCCTACCTATCCCCGTCTGTTTCCTTTTCCCTCTTGTGCTGAGTTTTCTCTCTCCTGGGACCCAAGGCTCTCATACTGCCCTGAGCTGCTTCTTTCGGAAAGGAAAGCTCTTTGGAAAGTTCATTGGCATTGGTGTCAGAAGTCCTGGCCATAAGGCCTACCTGGACCCCTTCAAATGCTATACCAGATCAGTGATTTCATAGGCAACTCTTAATGAGGAAACTCCCTCCACCAATGCAGATTGGCACTTGTTCTACAAGCTATATTCTTAGTGACTTACCCAGGATCACACAGTCAGGATGTGTCAGAGGTAGGATTCAAACTCAGGCCTTCCTGGTTTATAGTTGGCTCTGTCTTCTATACCACAGCTGGCTCTCAGCTCCACCACATACTAAACTTGGTGGACTTGAGCAAGCCTCAGGGCCTCAGGTTTCCTCATTCACTAATTAGCTCTAATTAGAGATAATAACCCCTCACACAGGGTTGATGTCAGGCTCAAATGACACTGAAAATTAAATTCAAGTTTACTACCATTATAGATTATATTGAGGTGCCAGGGATCAACATGATTTCCCTTACCAGGAGTATTGGTACTTAAAAAGAGGATCTCAGAAAGGGCAATGCTTACCCCTGAATGAATGCAGGAAGATGTAATGGTGACAGGGCAACAAGAAAGATACTTGAGGGGCTGGGACAGACTTTTTTGTTGTTATTGTTCAGTCATTTCAGTTGAGTTCAGTCCTACTCTTTATGACTCTATTTGGGGTTTTCTTGGCAAAGATACTGGAGTAGTTTTCCATTTCCTTCTCCAGTTCATTCTACAGATGAGTAAACTGAGACAAACAGGGTTAAGCAACTTGCCCACAGTCACATAGCCAGTGAGTGTCTGAGGCCAGATTTGAACTCAGGTCTTCCTGACTGCAGGCCCAGGTGTTCTATCCACTGTGCCACCTAGCTGCCCTGGGACAGACCTCCCTACTCCTCAGGACATATAAATGCCTGCCTGCTTACTGCCCTTAGACATAAGTGTATCTCTGCTTCCAAACCGAATCTCAGAGTGTTAGACCCGGAAGGAGATGTAGATATCATTTAGTACAAGCCCCTAATTTAGACACAGACAGAAGTGCCCAAGGCCCCACCACTAGTCAGCTGCAGATCTCCCACTCCAACACAGGTCTTCTGACTCCAAGCCCAACGTTCCTAACACCATCTCAGCCCACACTTCTTCTCAAGTGTCTCTACCCTGTCAGAGTAAGCTTTGCCAACCTGCCTCACTGACACCTACCTTCCTAAAAGATGAAATGTTCAGGATGAATAGGAATAAACATATTCCAGGTACTGTCCTTCCCCTCCCACTCCCCGCCTCCTCCAACAATCTGAACAACGCGCCTATACATCCATCTAGATGGAGTATGACTATACTGCATCTTCCCAAACACCCCTATTAACCTAAGCACAAATGACCTGCCTTCTCCATTCATCTGAAGTAAAGGGAGGGCAGTAGAGATTGAAAGCAAGAAACTAATCTATTCCTGAACCTCCTTAAAGACCCTCTTTCCCCTTCCTCCTTCCCCCCCTTCCCCCTCTCCAAACCTCCTACCCCCTCGCCCCTGTGCTTTCTCCGTTGCTAGGGCCCCCACATGTAACCTGGATACCAGGCTCAGCAAATAGCTAGCCGGCTCTTTGGGAATCCAGCATCACAGCCCAGAGCGCCCCCGCTCCAGCGCATTCTCCCTGCCGCCCACTATGGCAGGGCAGCGGTCCCATCCAGCTCTGCTTGGAGGGACCTGGGAGCAGCCCTACTAAAGGAGAGTAGGGGGCTTAGAGACTTAGGGGGAGTCTGGTGGAGCCGCATCTGGGACACGTGCATACTCCTCTTGGCTGGCTGCCGAAAATGGCTTTGCAGAGAAGACTCAAGTCTCTGCTCCTGACAGCTGCAGAATAGGTCTATTGTCTGGGGCTCCTTCTCCTCATTCTTCAGCCCCCTCCCTCTCCCCTTTCCCCTCCAGCCAGTCCCTCTCTCTGAACTCTTCTCTCTGCGAGCAGCCGAGGATCTGGAACCTGAAGCCACCCACTCATCTTCCCCCTTCCCCCTCCCCCCTCCCCATCCTTCAGCCAAGGCCAGCCATGGCGAAGGGCCCAGACTGCAGCCGGCCTCAATGGAGCATCCTACACACCTTCCTTCGTTGCAACATGAACCCTGAGACTCAGCGTGTGGTGGTCTTTGTCATCCTGCTCTTCCTCATCATCATTAATGTCGTGCTGATGTTCCTGCTAGCTTTCCGCTGAGCACTGAGAGGGGCCGCAAAGCAGCCTCAGTAGGAGAGGCAGCCAGCGGTGCCAGGGCTGGTGGCTGGTGCTGGTGGCTGGGGGTGAGCAGCACACAGGGCTTCCGGACCAGCAGGTCAGCTTATCGTTGTCTGATTCTGGTTGCCTGTCTTTCCTGTCTCCCCCACCCCCCATCCTCTCAACCTCCCCATCCTCCCATCCCACCACACCAGTGATCAAGGGGAGGGCAGACTGGTCTAATTCTGCTCCGGGCTCTTGGACACTGCTAGTGCCTTCTTCCTGGAAAGGGGCCCAGCCAACCCTCTGAACTGAACAAAGACTAAAGCCAGCTGTGGAAATTCCCCTTGCCCACCCCCCCAAGCTTAATCTTCCTGCTGCATTAGACTCCCAGACTTGCACCCAAAGGGTCTACCTCCACTTTCAGGACCCTTTGTGTGACCCCCTTTGTGTGTGCGTGGACTCTGTGACAGCGTGTATGCAACCGGGTATGTGAGTGAGCGTGTGTGCCTGTGTGTAGGACTGGTTTTGGGTGCAGCTGTACGTGACCCTAGAGCTGTGTTGTCAGACTGTGTATAATCATGTGGCCCCGGGAAAGATCTTTTGCAGATCTCTTAATATTGTTCTGTCTGTGCCTCTGTCTATGTACACCTGCGTCTGTAAATTTGTGCCTGTGTGCATGTATGTGTGTATGTGTGTGTGTATGTGTGACAGTGTTTTTGTGTGAGGGGAGGATGGGAGATTGAGTGGATGTCACTATGTGATTTCTGTGACTGTGAGATTGTGACTGTGGCCGTGGGTGCCATGGAGGTGGGGGGCACATTAACTGCACAGCTGCTTTCCTTCCAAGCCACACCTGTCTTTTGATGAACTATCAATTACTGCTGTTAACCAAGAGCTTCTTTGCTGATGGGATCTCAAGCCACACGCTGCCCTCCACCAGCATCTTCCCTAAGCCAGGGCACTAGAAATCATGATGAGGGCAGCATGATGTCCAGTTAACTGAAATTGGCCACAGGGGTTGGGAGCCGCTGTGCTCACTCAGCTGAGCCTGGGGTGCCTTCACTGCACTCTTGCCTCTGTAGGCATTGTGGGGATGGGGGTGGGGAGACGCATGGTGTGACACAGTGACAAAGAGCTGACAGGAAGCCAAGACTTCATCATAGGGGGCCCCTTTGCAAAGGGCCCAGTGTCAAGAGTCATGCCAATTGTGTATAGGCTGAGAACTGGATTTAAAAGGCCAGATTGGAGCCTGATAAAATGACTGAGGGACCCTTTAGGGCCCCTTCCACAGGACTTCCATGGGAAGGGCTCTGTCTCCCCTTGACATTGGCACATGTTAGCTTCACATCCCCACCAAAAAAGCCTATTGTCAAGTTCAAGGACAGAAATACCTGGATACCATGACTTTCCTGCCATCATACAGTTCCTGCCCTGAACAACTCGATATACTACCCAGTTCCATAGGGCTGACATCTTCTCCAAGGCTGACGACAGCAGCCTCCTGAGCTGAACAGTGCCCATCCCCAGAAACCATCCCAGGGGTCATCGTTGGCATGTCTCTGTTATGTCATGGGCATGGAGTGTGTCACTAAGATGCTGTGGACTCACTTTGTGTCTCTGTGATGTCAAGGATATGGAGCATGTCTTGGATGTTTTTGGACGTGGAATGTGTCTCCATGACATCGTGGGTGTGGAGCGTGACTTCGTGGAAAGGAAGCGTGTCCCCTGTGACATGGGGGCTATAGGATATATCTCTGATGTCATGGACATAGAGTGTGACTCTATGATGTCACAGATGGAGAAGTTCTCTTTCATTCAATAGATGTTAAAAGCACATATAATGATGTTTGGTTTTTTTTAAATTCTGTGCCCCGCTCAAACTGTGGGAGTTTCCAAGTGGAATGAAGTCTTGGGGAAGGGAGTGGTAAAAGAAGATGGAGGTCCAGGGTGGAGGTGGGAGAAAGCCACGTGTTTTGTGTTTTAGCTGTGCTATTTTCTAGGAGGAAAGTATGCAAAAATAGCATACTAAGTTATTCTTTTAATTTATATGGCATTTTGTACTTCTCAGACATCTGTACTTTGACATCTGCTAATACATCTGGTCCCTCATGAGGAGGGTAGAGAAAGAATTAACATCCCCATTTGATAGAAGGACAAACTGAGGCCTAAAAAAAATTCAAGGGATTTTCTCAAGGTCACACAGTGATAAAAACAGTACTAGAACCTGTTTTCACTAGTCCCTAGTTTTTCCCACCATTACCACTCACTATTATGTGGAGTGAGTCCTGGGCTAGGGGTGGGAGGATATAAAATCAGGTCTATGGAACAGCAAGTAGAAGGAATGTCTCTCTGCCTCACAGAAAGGAAAGCCTTCCTCTAGAGTCCCCTCCCAAGGGGCAGGCCCAATACCTCTGGTCTGGCATTCTGCTCATTTGAGGCCTGCAAGATAGCTAGTTCTGTTCTTAGAAAAATCTCACAGACACTCACAAACATACGTGATAGCTTCAGATATTAGTCTAGGCGAGATTAAAATCCCCCTCCCAATCCTTCCTTTGTCTCTGGTCTGTGGCTGTGGTGTGCACAGAAAGGGAACTGCTTTTTCATTCTTATCATTACTGATTTCTTTTCATGGGAAAAACTGACAATACCTTGTCTTTCTGATTTGCCGCCAAGGGTTAACTCACCTATTTCTGATAGAAGTGGGACTAGAGTCTCAGAGTGGTGAAAACAGGAGGCCAAGGAGATTGGTCCCTGAAAAATGTCCTCCCCCTCACCCTTCCTGCAGTGGATCCCAGGAGACCTAACCCTGAGCTGCTGGTAAGAAATGGTCTCAAGACTTGGCTCTGGCATTTGGAAATGAATCATTTAGGCTCCTAGGTATGACTGCTGGTCCCAAAGTAGGCAAGGACGCTCCTAAGACCACAGGGGCACTGGGGAGTGGTGAAGGCAGGTTAAGGTTCTTATATATCCTCTGAGGATACATAAGAAATTGGTTCTATAGGATATCTTTCCAATCCTGTGTTCAAGTCTAAAGAAAAGTCTGTTACCCTGTTCTATCCCTCACCCAGGGCTTATCATTCCTTTACAAACCAGTTGAAACTCAAAGCTCCTTAACCTTATATCTCAACCATTCTGGCACAAGCTGTCTACCCTCTCCAAGGTAACAATTAGATAATCTGGTAGATCAATCTGTGGTAATGGAAGTGGGCACAGGGCAAGTAGTTAATTATCCTCGCCCTCACTGATTCATTCGTGACCTTCATGGTAGAGATTTCAGCCTGTGATCAGCCGTTTGGGGGCCATTAGAGCCATAGACATAAAAGACATAGTATGATCTGAGGATCTGGCGCCCAGCAGATTTTATTTTTGATGGAGTAAAAAGAGCACTTGTCTTGGAGTCAAGAGAAATGCAGCTTCAAATCTCACACCACTTCTAACACTTACCTTTTTGAAGCTCCTTTTCCTTATCTGTTATTTCACAAGCTTGTTGTGAGGATCAAATGGGAAAATGTAATAAAACACTTCGCAGGCCTCAAAGCACTCCCTTTACAAAATATCAATTATTGTTATGATTCTCAAAATGCCTTCCCTACTGATGTCTAAAATTCTACCATTAGCACTAATTTCTTTGGATTAAGCACTGTCCTTTCTGCACTCCTGTTTTAGAATGACTAGCCAGGGATGGGAAACCTGTGACCTCAAGATCACATGTGGCCCTCTAGGTCCTCAAGTGTGGCCCTTTGACTTCACAATGAGGTTTGGATTTGGTCAAAGGGCTGCGCTTGAGGACCTAGAGGGCCTCATGTGACCTGTAGGCTGCAGGTTCCCCACCCCTGGGACTAGGCTCTTGGGACTAGGAGTGTGTTAATATGTCAGGGTGAATGTGTTTCTCTTGCTGCCAAGAGTAAAGCTAGGAAACATGGGATCAGTGGGTTCCCAAGAAATGCAGAAGAAGGAAAGGAAGATAGCACAGAAATTTCATTTCATTTCATTAATTTCAGTTTTTTCAAGGGCAAATTCTTCTTGCCCCATCTCTCAAATTCCATCATAATCACAACTCATGTTGTTTAAGTAGCCCTATAAGACTAACAAAGTGCTTTCTTCATAATAATCCTGCCCAGGGAGGCACAGTGAGGATATCCCGATTTTACAGATGAGAAAGCTAAAGCTCAGAGAGATTAAGCCAATTGTTGAGGGTCACATGACTAATAAGGGAAAGAGCCAGTCAATGCTGAAAGCACCAGCCCCATATATTTGGTATGTTTAAAGGAAGGTCACAGAGGAAAGGCCACTGGGCCACGTGGCTTAGGTAGAGACACCAAAGGGACAAACAATAGAATTTTAAGTGAAGCCTACTTATTACCACCACACACTTCACACTAGAGCCAGGACTGACCTCTCTATACTAGAGCAGTCCAACATCTTCCTCACACTGGGGCTGGAATTGACACCTCCAGAGTGGCACTTGAAAGGAATTAGGAAGAGAGAAAACCAGGGAGCCTCAGGGTGATGGTCTTCAGACCACGAAGGGAAGGTGCTGATAGGGCGTGGGGATGGGGTTCATAATTGTCAGTCAAGGAAGAAACTATTCCCAAGGCTTGGATAAAGGTTATACCCCTCTCATACAGGGATTCCTAGGTCTGTGCTTCATGACGGCTTAGCCATCTAATGTCTCAGCTCAAGCAGATCAGGAAGTAAGAGGAGAGGGTCATGGGGGCACCAAGCAGCAGAGCAATTCAGGTGTTTTATAGAGAAGAGAGACCTCACTCAGGTCTGATTGTTTCCCACTCATGAAGTCACAGATAAGAAGCCACCAATAAGCTAGAAAACTGGAATTTCTAGCCTAGAAGCTTCCAGACATAGAATCTAGAGAGAGGAAGTTCCAAAAATTGGGCAGGGCAGGAGGAAGGAAAATAGCAAGGAAATAGACAGCTTGCTAGACAGGAAAAAGAGGTTTCTCCAGGCTATAACAATATGATGAAAGCCAATGAATAATACAGACAATGAGGGTTATAAAGAGTCCAGGGAACAGATAGGACTGTTCTCTGGATTTTCAGAGAAAAGCTTTGTGGAGAAAATGGTTCTTAATTAAATTGTAATTTAATGCATGGGTAAGACTTGGATAGCCAGAGAAGAATGAGGACATACCAGAAGGAGGAAACAACATAAAAAGAGGTAAAGATTCAGTTGACATGCTTTGGAGTTTTAAATAAGTAGACAAATATGGCTGGAGTTGTTCTTTGGCTCAATCTACATACCTGGTGTTTGGTGCCTCAGAGTTGTCCCCTTTTCTCCATCCCAACACTCACCCCATGTTCCCCAGATGTCCTACTGTTG